TATATTTTTTATTAGTTAAAATAGAAACAAGTGTTTAAATTTTTTTAATATTAACTTAATTTTAAATGTTAAAAAAAACATGTATTTAGGAAAAAAAGTATATTTTAAGATAGCAATAATTTATTATACGTTTTGTAAACGTTACATAGTCAAACAGCTAATAGAAAATACAACGTAACGATGTTCTTTTTTTTCATCATAATTTTCATTTAAAAAGCTATAATTTAAATTTTAAAACACACATGTCTCAGAACATTAAAAAAAAGACTTTTAACTGTAGTTATTTTAACATAAGCGACCTTTTTTTATACAGAAGGAAGGTCATTAGGATAATTATTTTATTTTTAACATTATATACGTTTCAATAATTTTAATTTAGTATAGATACAAATAAATCAGACATTTCGGAACAGTTTCAAAATTAAAAGAAAGATTTATATGCGTAGGTGATATTTTACAAACTCTTCCTACAAAAGCGTATTTAGAGATTTATAATGGGCACAAACATGATTTTTTCGTTTTGTTAATACATAAAAATTGAAAAAAGAAACAAAAAATATTATCACATTTTTTTTTTTAATAAAACAAACTTTAAAAATATTATCATTTTAGCTTTGATACAAAGATTAAGAATTGACTAAAAAGATATTGGTTTTAAAATAATGTGCATTTTTTTTTATTTATACATAAATTGCTTTCATTAGGCTAATTTTGATGATCTATATTTTAAAATATCTCGAATTTGATCTAGTTCAAAGATTACTAAAATCATATTGATGTTAGAAATTTATAAAAATATCTCAAAATACAACATTAGTGACAAACGTTAAAAATAACGTTGTGTTAACAAAGTTATTAATTACAATAACCATTGTAAAAATAGTTAAATATTTATCAAATTTTACTAACATATCAAAAAGACGATAATATATCTTCATGTAATCTAATATAAATACTAAGTACTAGAATGGTTTAAAGAAGCATGTAAATTTTTCTTTTTGCATTCCAAAATTTGAAAATATTCCACAATGTGTCCATTCTTAAGATGTATATTAAATTATAGTTCTTAAAAAGTACTTATTACTAATAATAATAAGTAGTATATCTAGTGAGTGTGGGTGAAATTCGTACTGTTGTAGTATATTCTGCTTACGGATATTGCCAATTTTATACATAAAATTGCTTGTCACTCAAGAAGTACTTTACCTAAGATTGCTCTCAGTCTATCAAAAATTTTTATTGAAAAACAATTTACAAAATTACTTTTTTAATACAAAAATATATCATAAATAAAATTTTGTGTTCCTAATTAGTGATAAATAGTATAACATATACTTTAAAGAAAGTCTAAGTATGCAATAGTCATTAAATAAAATTTTCAACAAAATGATAATTAAACCGAAAATTATAAGATAAAGAATAATTATCAACAAGATAAACAATAAATCTAATAATTATTAGGTTACGTTGGATGAAATAATCAATATATTTAATATAAAAAAATACTTAACAAGAAGAATATTTTATTTGAAATTTATAAATATAAATTGTTGAATTTTTAATAAATTAATTAAGTTCTGAATATTTCAATTGCAGCATCTATTTAAACACAATGAGTTACATAAAAATGATTATTATGATTTTTATTAAAGTGATTTATTTCGATATCAATAATAAAAATAGTAAATTTAAAGAAAGTTTTTAGCTTTTCTCATTAGTTTAATGGTAATAGTAATAATATAAGTTTCTGATTACATATCAATCTAAAAATAAGATTTTTTAAATCCTCCTAACATATTCTATTTAATGATATCAATTATAAACTTTTAAGTAGAGCTTAAATAGCATTTAAAAGTTTAACATTTTTAAATTTTACATTTTCAAAAAAATCAATTTTTAAAGACCAAAAAACTAAGTTAAACATGAAATAATGAACAAAAATCATACACGTATTATTTTTAACACATAAAAATTAAAATCAACTTGATTACAATTTTTTTTTGTTTTTAATTTTTTTAGCTTCGATGCAAAGTTGAGAAGGTATTTAATTTTATCATAATATGTTTATTTTTTTTTTTTTGTACCTATCACTACTTTTTCTCAGATCTCACTGGAACGATTTATCTCAACGATACGTCAAAAGATCACAAATTGTATCTAATTGAAGACATTACCCCCAAAAATTGAAAAATTTGCCATAATTCCCTGTAAATGGTGAAAATCCTCCAAAAAATTACGAATTCTAAAATCGGTTAATATCAACTTTTTGTTCCTAAAAATATTCATAACATATTAAAACATGAACCAATCAAAATAATTCTTTTTTACATTGAATCTTTAGATATTTTTGTTTCATTTCATATAATTTTTTTGAAAATCTGACCCTTTAACTGTCCACAAGAGAGGATACAAAAGAGCAACTTCTGCACAAAAATTTAACTTTGTCAACTAAAGTTTTGAAAATGTTACAGACATATTCCGAGCTTCGAGGACTACCGCGATAAAGCTATTGCATAGAATTTTTATCAAGAGGATATAAAGAGGCTATTTTATAAAGAGGATCATTCCTATTTATAGAAGGGGGGTCAAAACTTTAAACATGAATATTAAAACAAGGACATTTTCAAATTAATTTTTGAAAGTGTTCCAGAAATACTGACACTTTTATATATATCCTAATTAAAGCTTATGTAATTTTTTTTGCCATTGTCGTCATAGTTATAGGCCACGGTCGGCATAATAGTTGGTTACGGTCGGAGTGGGAGGTGTTAGATTTATTTTCGTTACGGAATTTCTATCAAGATTCGGTCGCCGCGCTCAAAGCCCGTAATAAAAGCAATGCAATAGCTTTAAAGAAAATAATCAAAAATGACAAAAAATTGAATAACAGAGGCCGTTTTTTGTTTTTTTGGGCTATTTTGGTCAAAATGCTAAAAATATGTTGAGCCACCAGTAAAATTTTTTTTAAAAATCTCAAATTTTCCCTAAATGGCTCTTTTAATTTATATTATAAAGTTAAAATGGTTCTCAATTTCGAAGATCGATTTTTTTGATCCACCTTAATATATATATAAATATAATTTATATTATTTATTAATTAATAATTAGAATTTGTAATTGCAATTACAAAGTTGAAAAATATTACTTCTTTATTAATTTTTCAAAAATTCAATGTTCAAATTGGAATTCTTACCACTTACAGGGAACAAGGGAAATTTTTTGTTTTGACTGATTTCTTTCGATACGTTAAAAATATCAGTTCGGTGAGAACTGAGAAAAAGTGGGGCCGACATAAAAAACACATAATAATTAAAATTATTACCTTATCAGCTTCGCATCAATGTAAAAAATAGTATAATACATCAAAAATTTCTTCAGATAACAGGAGGTGATTTCCTCTTAATTGTGAAATATATTACAGTAATACAATTTTTAAGCATAACCTATATTAAATTACGGTATATCAACTTGTTCCAATATTAATTAATTATAAATTATATAAATTAACTAACGTTAATAAGCATTTTACCAGTTGGTCTCAATTTATAAAATAGTATTTCTAACAAATTTCTAATTTTTTGTTGAATACTTTTTTTAAAAGATTTAATTAATCATAGTATGTTAACTAGCCCTACTCTCCCTTAAATTTGGTACAAGAACTTAAAATCATATATAATTATTAACTATTAATTTTTTAAAATACACGAATTTTAGAACAAAATTTTTGACGAGTGATTATGCTTGTTAAAAATATATTTTTTTATATAGTGTTTTGAGCTTTGTTTTTTTAGAGATCTATTTAGTACTTCGAACAAATCGTGTACCTTAATTACTACTGTGATATTATATAATAAAGTTGAACTATTGTTTCATATCAACGACAGCGTTTAGATATTTTTAAATTTTAATAAATATAATATAATGTACAATACGTCTAAACTGAATCTTAGTACAGTTGGTTAGTAAGTATATCTAAGTGAGACGCATTTAATTAGCTATGATGTCAATTAATGATAGACGTGTCTTTGTTTAAAATTAAGTTAAGTTATTGACAAAATTAATGATGTAAAAAATGATGGTATCGAAAACTATATTGAACTACAACTATAACAGCTATTCAAACGCATCTGCTTTTTATTAGTACGACGTCAAAAGCTCCAGTCTACTGACGATTAGAATTGTCAGCTAATTGATGTGTTATTTTGAATGTATTAAATGTTCTTAGAATTAAACATAAGTTCTAAAAAAAAAATTTTCTCGCTCCACTTGAAATGACATAGCCTTATTTTTTATAAAAAGAAATATTTAATTATAGTATCGTTCGTTGATGTACCAAACGAGTCATATAGAAAATATGTAGTAATATTACTTTATACAGAGTGATCAAAAAATGGTAGGACACTCATTTTTTCAGTAACTAGAAAATTTAAAATTTTTGTAGAGAGAAAACATATTGGGTTTAAAACACTCTACAATAATATGTTGTTAAAACATTTTTTTTCGTCCTTTTACGGGTAAAAATTCGTGAAATTTTGTTCTCATAAATTTTTATATCCGATAAACTGTTTGCGTTTTACAGATTATTTAAAAATTTGAATTTCAAGTAAAAATTTTTATTGATTTGGTTTTATAGTACCAGTGACAGCAATAATTTATTTCGATAGCGACAATGTAATATTGTCAATATCATATTTCATTTATTTAACAAGTTTAGAAAAATTTTTTTGATTACTACCATAATAAATAATTTATGGGCTATCATAAGATATTATGTCTATCAAGGTGGCAACAATAATACCGGATACACAGCCACCGGTATTATTTGAAGTTAGTATAATATAAAAACCCTGTAATAATCAAAAAATTGATTGGATTAATAATAAACTATTCATTGATATTCAATGATATTCATTTTATTCTTTATGATATAAACGAAAAATAGTTGACTATAAATTGAGAATCCTATTTAGTATTCTAATTACAATTTGAGTCCATGAGGATTATTTTAAAGATATTTATTAAATGGCCTCAAATATTCGGGAATATCAATTAACAATGATGTTTTATCCTGTGTTTCATGGTTGTTTCTAGTATCTTCAAAATTTAAGTTTTCTAGGAATGTAATAAATAAAATATAAAATTAATATTTACATCTCTTTACGACAATATACAAATTAGTTATTCATGCATTTAATTGATTCTCAGTGTTAAATATGAATCGTATTAATTTTTTTAATTAAAAGAAGTATATGAAAAATGTATAGTTATTTTGAAATAAATCAGGTTTCGTAATAATAGTTAATTGTAATAAATTGAAATAAAATTAACTAAAATTAGTATCTTATGTATAAAAGATGTCTAAGTATAATACCTTCAATATTTTCATCATTCAGCATATGAGTAGAAGCCATTATAGGATCTTCAAAATGCTCTAAAAAAATGTACATATTTTTTGTATTATTTTCTTATAAAATCATGAATTTCAATATTTATGGTTAAATGATGTTTGTTAATATCTAAACGTTACAACAAATAAAATGTTTTCTTAATGAGTAAATTGTATTTAATATCAAAGAAAAATTTTATTACTTAATTATGTTATTTCTACCTAAATTGTCTATTTATGATAATTAATTTAATAATTTTTTATTTAATTTAGTCCCATCGTTCATTACGATGGCATACGAATAAATAAAAAAATACCTTGAAAATCTCTTGTTCTCTTAAATGAGGAAAATCCCCCAAAGAAATTTTGATTTTAAAAATCAGTAAATTTATTAAACTGACTTTTTCAAAAATGAAGGAAATTAAATAATTTTGTTTTTTCATATAGATTCCCAATATTAATTATGATTCATCTTAAAATATTTATTTAAATGAAGTATTTGAAATATGTATAGTTATTTTGAAATTAAATCGGGTTTTATAATAATAGTTATTATTATAAATCAATATAAGTAGAATTAGTTTTTTAAGTATATAATATATCTCTATATATTACCTTCAATATTATCACCATTCAGCATTTGAGTAGAAGCGATTATAGGATCTTCAAAATGCTCTAAAAAATGTTCAATTCATTATTTTACTTTTAACTCGTGATATTCAAAGAAAATGTTTTCCTAATGAGTCAATTGCATTAAATATTCAAAGAATTTTTTTTTTTTTAATTACTATTTTAAGGTATCTAAGTAGATGAATACCTTTAAGATTTTCTTTATCTAGCACTCGTATAAAAGAAATTTCAATATCTTTAAAGTATCTTAGAAAATTACAAGTTTTTTTTTCATGTATAAAATTCATAAATTATGAAACAACGACAATAATTGAAATGGGGAAAAATGCTTGGCAGTTTTCTTTTATAGTTTGTAACTTATTGATGGTTATTTTCATTGTAAGTAAAAAAAAAAACAAATACTTTACCAATAATTCTCAATTTGGTATATTAATACGAAATTTTTTATTAAATATCTCTTATAATTTTTATAAATTTTTTGAAAATTAGACTCTTTATAGGAATTCAAAATAGCAAATTTTGCATTGAAATTTAACTTATGAAAATTTTATAATATCTTCAAAATTGAATTTTTCTGTAAATGTAATAAATAAAATATAAAACTAAAACTTATATCTCGTTCACAATAATATACAAATGAATCATTTATCTGTTTAATTCATTCTCAATATTAAATATGATTCATCTTCGATTTTTTAATTAAATGAATTAATGGAATTAATGACCTATGTAGTTTATGTATGATTATTCTATTATGCATATGTTAGTAATAATTTTGTTGAATTGAATTGGTTATGTAATTATAAAATATATAAATTATTCCTTTTATTAATATTATATATTATAAAATATCAGAAAATATATATTAAAGATATATAACGGCAACGGGTCGCTTAACTCGAAAGACGGCAAACAACGACTAAATCTTAAACATTTATACAGAGGACTATAATAGGTAAAACGACATAAAGAAAATTACGCCCCGAGTAAAATTAAAGATAAAAAATATAATTAAACAATTTTACCTTGTTCTGATGATTCTAGTAAATCTGGTATAAGAGTTTCCTTAGTATCTGTATTGAATTTAAATCCTAAATTAACATATTTCTCTTGAATAGCCCACTGACAAATAGTCATTATTTTAAATCTGAGAAAATTATAAAACTCGATATTACTACCACTTAGTTGCATATTGTGATATTCGTTATTCAAATTATGCCATAATGATGTCAAACTTTCAGAATTAATGTTACAAATACTCATGCCATTATTTAGTTCTTCATTCCATTCAACAATTAAACTTAATACTTTCAATAATGCTTCTTCATAATTTGATAAATTTATTTGCAAAAGTGGTAATAATTTTAAAACATTTTTATCTTGTAGCACATTAACTAATTTTGATGAAATAAAGTTTTTTAAATCATTACTTTCTGTTTGGTGTTTATCGGTTTTATCTAAAGCATCTAAGGCGCTTCCCATATATATTACTAATGAAGTTAATAAAGGTATAGTTCTAAGAAGTTGAACAGTGCAATTATACTTATAATTTATCAAATTTTCTTCTCTTGAATAATATCTACAGTGATTTTGAAAATAATTTAATATAAAAAAAATATTCTTCAAAATATTGGCGTAAGAACATCCAAGTATTAACGTTATACAAAATATTGGTTTATCATATCTTAAAGTATTTTGAATTATATCTTGTAATATATAATTGTGTCTCAAATATGTGATGTAGTTCACGTCAGTCATATTTTTCCAACCACTGTGTTTGAATAAACTATTGATTTTATTTGAAAAATAATTCTTAAAGCTCCATTTCACTTTATGCAAACATGAAAGAGTAATTTTTTATTTAAAAAAATGTTTAATAGTGAAAATTGTTGATCACTCATATGTGACATTATTTTAATTAATTTAAAATATTTTTTAGTATATTATAAATCTTAAAGATATTTTTATCACAAATAATGTTAATGTTATCGTTATACATTATAAAAATACATAGGCGTGCGAATAAGTTTAGCAAAAAATACTTTTGCTACACTGTTTGGTCTGATTATATTAAATAAGCCTAAAAGAATCTATGGATGTTGCTACATATTAAAACTGCGTGTTAAATCAATGTTTTAGTAGTGTAAAGAATATCAACAAGTTGATAAGAAGAATAAGTTTATAACTTAACAACCCTGTTGTTCAATGGATAAATTATAAAAGTGTTCAGTAAGTAAGGAAACCGATATCTATTATTCTCATTTTTCGTAACAATTGACCTGTTTCCTTAGTTACTGAACACTCTGTAAAACTCTAGTTCTTTAATTATCTTATTATAGTATGAGGTTTTATTTAATTTATTACTATTATTATTATGAACTATTATTAATATTATCATCATTCAGCATATGAGTAGAAGCGATTATAGGATCTTCAAAATGCTCTAAAAAAATGTACATATTTTTTGTATTATTTTCTTATAAAATCATGAATTTCAATATTTATGGTTAAATGATGTTTGTTAATATCTAAACGTTACAACAAATAAAATGTTTTCTTAATGAGTAAATTGTATTTAATATCAAAGAAAAATTTTATTACTTAATTATGTTATTTCTACCTAAATTGTCTATTTATGATAATTAATTTAATAATTTTTTATTTAATTTAGTCCCATCGTTCATTACGATGGCATACGAATAAATAAAAAAATACCTTGAAAATCTCTTGTTCTCTTAAATGAGGAAAATCCCCCAAAGAAATTTTGATTTTAAAAATCAGTAAATTTATTAAACTGACTTTTTCAAAAATGAAGGAAATTAAATAATTTTGTTTTTTCATATAGATTCCCAATATTAATTATGATTCATCTTAAAATATTTATTTAAATGAAGTATTTGAAATATGTATAGTTATTTTGAAATTAAATCGGGTTTTATAATAATAGTTATTATTATAAATCAATATAAGTAGAATTAGTTTTTTAAGTATATAATATATCTCTATATATTACCTTCAATATTATCACCATTCAGCATTTGAGTAGAAGCGATTATAGGATCTTCAAAATGCTCTAAAAAATGTACAATTCATTATTTTATTATTAACTCGTGATATTCAAAGAAAATGTTTTCCTAATGAGTCAATTGCATTAAATATTCATAGATTTTTTTTTTTTTTATTACTATTTTAAGGTATCTAAGTAGATGAATACCTTTAAGATTTTCTTTATCTAGCACTCGTATAAAAGAAATTTCAATATCTTTAAAGTATCTTAGAAAATTACAAGTTTTTTTTTCATGTATAAAATTCCTAAATTATGAAACAACGACAATAATTGAAATGGGGAAAAATGCTTGGCAGTTTTCTTTTATAGTTTGTAACTTATTGTAGGTTATTTTTATTGTTTGTAAAGAGAAATTAATTGAAGATTTATCAATAATTTTCAATTTAAAATTTTAATACAAACATACCGCAAAAAAAAAAAAAATTAAAAACAAGAAATAAATTAAAATAACTTTACTTATAAATGAGTACTTTATAAATCTAAGATACCAAGTAAATTAATACTTTCAGTATTCGAGTAGAAGTAATTATAGGTTTTACAAAATATTCTAGAAATTTACAATTTATTATAATTTTATTAAGTTTTCAGAACGGATATTGTCAGCAGCAAAAAAAGGCATAGATCAAAGAGGAACAGCAATTTTTATCTACCAATTTTCATAATTCACTGAGAATGAGTTGAATACAGAAATAAACTTAATTATAGTAGAAATTTTATTATCAAACAATTAATTCAAATAACTACAACTTACAATAAGCCAAATACTCATATAAGTAATTAGGACCTAAACACTATAACGTCTATTGACTGGTTTATAGCTGCAGATGACGTGAATTTTAAATACACGCGCTGAGTTTGGGGCAATCCATCAGGCAGAAAAATGTATAATCACTTGACATAGTGAATTTAAATAAACTATCATCAGACTACAACCCGTTAATATTTATAATATTCGACGCAGTTAATTCTTCATGACCTCTACTATACTATAATGCATCAACTGGATCAAATTTAATAAAAATTGTGAGACCATTTTAAAATTAACTAACAAACTCACCAGTGGAAATTCCTACACTACTTCAACAACTTCAATAAATGGATGATCTTATAAAAAGAAAAATGATATCTATAGTAACAAATTATCTCCAGAAATCGAAATAAAGAACAAAAATTGAATACGAGTTCATGGTAACTTCAAGGATCTCCTCACAGCTCATAAATAAAACTCTTGGAACAAATTTCTTAAATCTCTGAAGAGAGAGAATTAATCAGAAAACTGTACTGTTGCTGTCAAGATGAACGCTATACACACAATATTCTTTATCGGTTTAATAATAGTTCCCTATATGACACATACACTGGCCACCACTGTCAATACCTGTATAATTTTAATATAGTTCATACTTTTATCTTTTTTATATTTTGTAAATTGTTAAGCCGTTGCCCTCTCCCAAACGTAATCGTCGTCGTCGTTGTGTCTCCCAGTGTGCAACAAAAATTGTAATTCTCTTCCTTTTGAACCACCGTTGTGGTTTTTTGTTGCTGTGTGCGTACAGCCAACATTGTTTTCGTGTGTGACGTTTTTTTTGTTAAACTATGTATTAATTTAACAAGGCGTTGGCCATTTCCAGGGCCCAGATCCCCATCTTAGGATGAGTCCCATCCGGGACTGGGTATCGTATTTTTTTTTTATTTAATATATTGTTTTGAGCCTTTTTCTGTTTTAAATTTTTTTTTTTTGTAAACTGTATATAAACTTTATCTAGTATTGATATTTATAAGGTTATTGGTCAATGGTGTGTCATGTATATTTAATACATATATCTATATTATTCCCGCAGTGCCCAAGTACGGTCTGGCCGGCCAGATTACAAAAATTATGCACCGCGCCCGGAGTACACGGACTTGTTCCAATGCGGAAGACACTTCATGTGTAATGTTTAAAAGTTGTAGGTTAAAATTTTTTTTGTCTTAATAATTGTTTTTTTTTTCTCTCTTTTGTCCCTTCATTTTCAGAGTGGTTTTTGCCTTCGGGTTTTGTCCACTATTAACTTAACTGTAATAATTTAATAAAGTCCACTTAATTTTCTTAATCAACAAAAATCTTTTTATTGCATGAATATCTTTAATATTCACGTGTATCTTATTTTTTTTTCCTTTAAATAATTCTCTCTAGTTTTAAGATAACGGTCTTCGACATACTAAAGTATGTCCACCACTGGTGACATCAAATAAATATATTTTGTTTTATTTACAAGGTATCAGCGTATTATAGTCTACAACAACACTTTATATCTTAGTATATATATATATAATTTTTTTTAATCCACTTTGNTAAACATTGAAATACGTATTGAGAAAAGGACAGAAGAAAACGCTATCTTTTCATGATTACTGTGTATACATATGATGATAGTGTGTATACATTACAAACTTGACATTAATACCATGATAAGAAATTAGATAAGGCAATTATTACTTATCACTCTCATTCAAAAGTATATTGAAAAGATAACGTTTTCTTCTGTCCTTTTCTCTTACTCCTATTTCAATGTTTAATACCGTAAAATTATACATAAAAATTCAAATTTTCACAAACTTCAAAACGCTACAGAATATTTGCTACTGAATATTAATAAGATATTTTTTTACTAAAATTTTTCTGAGATTCTACTCTACAAAATAGCTATCTTAGATTTTTTTTAACATTTTATTTAAAGTTTAAAAATAATTAATTATTGAGATATAGCTATAGACCTAACGTATAACTATTATTTAAAAAAAAAATCAACTAAAAATATTAACTGGATCAAAAGTTATTTAAGTTGTCAGTGAGTGGTGGGCCACCCTGTATATATACATATAATTTTTTATATATTATTAGAATATATAAATATCATTATTTAAATATTATTATTACAATAATATTGTTTAATATTATTGGTTTATTTATTACTTTTTTTAAATTCATTTATGGTCCGGGTGTTATTTTTTTTATGATCAAGACCCTCGCCTATGTGGTTGGCGACCCGATTCTTCTTTTGCAAGGGAGCCAAGAGGGTGGCGACTCCACAGTCCGTTGCGTGGCCCAAGTCGTCACCTTTCAAATTAAACAAGGAGCTCTTCAACAAAACACCAGCCCAGAAGCAGCTGACCGGATTTAACAGCCAGGTAAATGCGAAACCTAACAAGGCTAAACTCTTCGTGGGCATATTAGAGAACCAGTTTTCACTAAACAAATTTCAAGATCTACCCAAAGTAAAAAAGTCAACAATAATTATTGAATCGTCACCACAAACATTTTTATAATACCATCTACACTTCAAGAAATCAGAAGAAGAATACCTATAAGAAATCATCGAGTGAAGATAGCATTTTAATATTGTTATTAAAAACCTCTTAAATAAAAGTATTACCCAACCGTTGAACTGGTTTTTTGCTGCCTAATTGTAATTGTGTAATTTAATATTATATATTAATCATGGGAATGAAAGGCCCTTTTTCTTGTATATAAAGTATTGACACTTTATTGTCGCTTCGTTATACACGATGCCCCGCGACTCGTGCCACCTTTATCACCTTTATTTGATTGATCAACACCGCGTGTCATACGCTACAGTGCAAAGTCCAGCAAGTACCGCACGGCCGACGATGACCCGCCGAAATGATACGGGAGTCTTCTTCCCGTTCTAAGAGTGACAACGTTGACAAACCGATCCGCACCCACGCACCGTCGCCATTAACGCTGCTAACCTTTTGACGCCCGAGGATCACGCCGGACATCGCGTCGTCGATGCCAGCGAAAGTGCCGCGATATTATGCGAATATTATTATTATTATTATTGTGTTCATCTTTTCGGTTTGTTTTATTTTTTTTGTTAAAATAACCTGTTGCTCATTAATAAACGGACCAGGGGCTCTACCCTCAAAATCAATGTCGACCACATTTTTGCGACGTAAGTCGTGTCAGTATTAATCATAGTAAAGTATTAGTCCTTCTAGAACATTCGATATTTGGACAGCCGTTTTCAATGCTTAGTTGCTATAGCCGCCGCCAGTAGTCGTCATCTACTCGTTCAAGAGTCATATCGTCAACAGGGTCGATCCTGGACGACTCTACACTTAATCACTATTTCACTGAATTTTTTATGTTAATTTATTCATTGAATCATTTGTATTATTAAGTATTGACTCATTAAAATCGTAAAAATTATTTATGAGAGTAATTATATACATAAACATAATAAATAGCAACTAATATTCAGACACAACATCTTTTCATTTTGTCTACCGAACTACTCCGGTTACAATACTATCATACAAACATTTTTCCAATACTAAACAAATACATCCCACTACCGTTGAAGACAAAAATTAACATATGCTTAATTTTCATAAGGCCAATAATTACTTACAACGTCCAAACATGGGTACCTAACACGTAAAACACGAAATTAAAGAAATTAGTAGCTGTACAAAATTGCCTTAGTCACATAAAATAATCACCGTTTTTCTTCTTAAATAAAACAGTACGTAGTCAGTAAACGTGTAAACAATTAAAGACACTATTGAAAAAGGTTACAATGATAAAATGGAGTCCGGAGCCGCCTTCATCGACCACTCGACAGTATATGACGCGGTGTAGAATGATGGATTACTATGAAAACTATCAAACATTATCCCATGCCCATGTCTGATACAATACATTAGGGACAGCATTGGAAATAGAAATTGTCGAGTTTTTCTCGGAAATCAGAAAATCAGATACCGCGTACTGAATAATTGACTTCCTCAGGGCTCTGTCCTAGCCCCAACCCTCTTTAATGAATTCACTAACGACATACTAAATCCAGACTCCAAAATGTTCTCTTATACTGACGACAGCTTAGGCATGGACCTCCCTAGGAAAACCTGGGTTAGACTCAACCGAAAACGCATGGGGCAAGGGAGATGTCATGAACTTCTGTACAAGTGCAAGTTCAGAGAGAATCTAGAGTACGATTGCGGCGCCAGTGTACAGTTGATGCAACACCTAATACTGAACTACCCACTAAGGACATACGACGGTGACTTGAAAGACTTCAAAAGTAATCCCTGAGGCAGTAGCCTGGTTGGATTCCCTGGATGTTGATATCTAGCTTAATTAAATTAAATTTAATGTGATACTTAATTATGTTATTTCTACCTAAATTGTCTATTTATGTTAATTAATTTAATAATTTATAATTTAATTCAGTGCTATCGTTCATTACAATCTCATTCGAATAAATAAAAAAATACCTTGAAAAACTCTTGTTTTCTTAAATGAGGAAAATTTGATTAAATGAGAAATTTTGAATTTCAATATCGGTAAATTTTTTTAAACTTTTTTAAAAATGAACGAAATTAAATTTTTTTTTTTTTTTTAAATTGATTTCCAATATTAATTATGATTCATTTTAAAATATTTATTTAAATGAAGTATTTGAAATATGTATAGTTATTTTGAAATTAAATCGGGTTTTGTAATAATAGTTATTATTATAAATCAATATAAGTAGAATTAGTTTTTTAAGTATATAATATATCTCTATATATTACCTTCAATATTATCACCATTCAGCATTTGAGTAGAAGCGATTATAGGATCTTCAAAATGCTCTAAAAAATGTTCAATTCATTATTTTACTTTTAACTCGTGATATTCAAAGAAAATGTTTTCCTAATGAGTCAATTGCATTAAATATTCAAAAAATTTTTTTTTTTTTAATTACTATTTTAAGGTATCTAAGTAGATGAATACCTTTAAGATTTTCTTTATCTAGCACTCGTATAAAAGAAATTTCAATATCTTTAAAGTATCTTAGAAAATTACAAGTTTTTTTTTCATGTATAAAATTCATAAATTATGAAACAACGACAATAATTGAAATGGGGAAAAATGCTTGGCAGTTTTCTTTTATAGTTTGTAACTTATTGATGGTTATTTTCATTGTAAGTAAAAAAAAAAACAAATACTTTACCAATAATTCTCAATTTGGTATATTAATACGAAATTTTTTATTAAATATCTCTTATAATTTTTATAAATTTTTTGAAAATTAGACTCTTTATAGGAATTCAAAATAGCAAATTTTGCATTGAAATTTAACTTATGAAAATTTTATAATATCTTCAAAATTGAATTTTTCTGTAAATGTAATAAATAAAATATAAAACTAAAACTTATATCTCGTTCACAATAATATACAAATGAATCATTTATCTGTTTAATTCATTCTCAATATTAAATATGATTCATCTTCGATTTTTTAATTAAATGAATTAATGGAATTAATGACCTATGTAGTTTATGTATGATTATTCTATTATGCATATGTTAGTAATAATTTTGTTGAATTGAATTGGTTATGTAATTATAAAATATATAAATTATTCCTTTTATTAATATTATATATTATAAAATATCAGAAAATATATATTAAAGATATATAACGGCAACGGGTCGCTTAACTCGAAAGACGGCAAACAACGACTAAATCTTAAACATTTATACAGAGGACTATAATAGGTAAAACGACATAAAGAAAATTACGCCCCGAGTAAAATTAAAGATAAAAAATATAATTAAACAATTTTACCTTGTTCTGATGATTCTAGTAAATCTGGTATAAGAGTTTCCTTAGTATCTGTATTGAATTTAAATCCTAAATTAACATATTTCTCTTGAATAGCCCACTGACAAATAGTCATTATTTTAAATCTGAGAAAATTATAAAACTCGATATTACTACCACTTAGTTGCATATTGTGATATTCGTTATTCAAATTATGCCATAATGATGTCAAACTTTCAGAATTAATGTTACAAATACTCATGCCATTATTTAGTTCTTCATTCCATTCAACAATTAAACTTAATACTTTCAATAATGCTTCTTCATAATTTGATAAATTTATTTGCAAAAGTGGTAATAATTTTAAAACATTTTTATCTTGTAGCACATTAACTAATTTTGATGAAATAAAGTTTTTTAAATCATTACTTTCTGTTTGGTGTTTATCGGTTTTATCTAAAGCATCTAAGGCGCTTCCCATATATATTACTAATGAAGTTAATAAAGGTATAGTTCTAAGAAGTTGAACAGTGCAATTATACTTATAATTTATCAAATTTTCTTCTCTTGAATAATATCTACAGTGATTTTGAAAATAATTTAATATAAAAAAAATATTCTTCAAAATATTGGCGTAAGAACATCCAAGTATTAACGTTATACAAAATATTGGTTTATCATATCTTAAAGTATTTTGAATTATATCTTGTAATATATAATTGTGTCTCAAATATGTGATGTAGTTCACGTCAGTCATATTTTTCCAACCACTGTGTTTGAATAAACTATTGATTTTATTTGAAAAATAATTCTTAAAGCTCCATTTCACTTTATGCAAACATGAAAGAGTAATTTTTTATTTAAAAAAATGTTTAATAGTGAAAATTGTTGATCACTCATATGTGACATTATTTTAATTAATTTAAAATATTTTTTAGTATATTATAAATCTTAAAGATATTTTTATCACAAATAATGTTAATGTTATCGTTATACATTATAAAAATACATAGGCGTGCGAATAAGTTTAGCAAAAAATACTTTTGCTACACTGTTTGGTCTGATTATATTAAATAAGCCTAAAAGAATCTATGGATGTTGCTACATATTAAAACTGCGTGTTAAATCAATGTTTTAGTAGTGTAAAGAATATCAACAAGTTGATAAGAAGAATAAGTTTATAACTTAACAACCCTGTTGTTCAATGGATAAATTATAAAAGTGTTCAGTAAGTAAGGAAACCGATATCTATTATTCTCATTTTTCGTAACAATTGACCTGTTTCCTTAGTTACTGAACACTCTGTAAAACTCTAGTTCTTTAATTATCTTATTATAGTATGAGGTTTTATTTAATTTATTACTATTATTATTATGAACTATTATTAATATTATCATCATTCAGCATATGAGTAGAAGCGATTATAGGATCTTCAAAATGCTCTAAAAAATTCATTATTTTATTATTAACTCGTGATATTCAAAGAAAATGTTTTCCTAATGAGTCAATTGCATTAAATATTCATAGATTTTTTTTTTTTTTATTACTATTTTAAGGTATCTAAGTAGATGAATACCTTTAAGATTTTCTTTATCTAGCACTCGTATAAAAGAAATTTCAATATCTTTAAAGTATCTTAGAAAATTACAAGTTTTTTTTTCATGTATAAAATTCCTAAATTATGAAACAACGACAATAATTGAAATGGGGAAAAATGCTTGGCAGTTTTCTTTTATAGTTTGTAACTTATTGTAGGTTATTTTTATTGTTTGTAAAGAGAAATTAATTGAAGATTTATCAATAATTTTCAATTTAAAATTTTAATACAAACATACCGCAAAAAAAAAAAGAATTAAAAACAAGAAATAAATTAAAATAACTTTACTTATAAATGAGTACTTTATAAATCTAAGATACCAAGTAAATTAATACTTTCAGTATTCGAGTAGAAGTAATTATAGGTTTTACAAAATATTCTAGAAATTTACAATTTATTATAATTTTATTAAGTTTTCAGAACGGATATTGTCAGCAGCAAAAAAAGGCATAGATCAAAGAGGAACAGCAATTTTTATCTACCAATTTTCAAAAAATTAACTTGCTTTAAGCGGGTTGGAACCTTGTACCTTATGCACGTAGGCCACAAATTTTACCGACTCGGCAATCGTACGTCGCTAACGTCGGCAGAAAAAAATGGCTATTTAAGCTAATTAAAATTTCAAAGTTATTTTTCTCGACTTCAAAAAAGCAAAAAAATTTAAATAGTTTTAACTTTCTATGCTATATCAATTTTATTTATATAATATTTATGAGAATTTGTGTACTCCCCTAGTCAGGTATTTTAAAACAAAATAAAATACAAAACCCAGAATTTTAACACAAAAATAGCAAATTTTTGAGTATGATAGTCATTTTCACTATAAAAACAAATCCAGAGGTCAAATTAAAATTTTTTTAAATTAAAAAAAAATTAAATATTACATAAGCTTCAATTTAATATATATATAAAAGTGTCAGTATTTCTAGAACACTTTCAAAAATTAAATTGAAAATGTCCTAGTTTCAATACGCATGTTTAAAGTTTTGACCTTCCTTGTATAAAGGGGTATGATCCGATGCAATAAAAGTGTGTCAGATGAAAGGGGTATATAAAAATTATTTTAAAAAAAATAATAATATTGATCCATACATTTTTCCGAAAGTTATAGCAATATAAATTTAATAATATAATATATAAAATCGAGAATTTTTTCATGGAAATCGTACGTTTTTCTTTAACTTTGATGTATGTTTTCACTATGAAGACATTCCAGAAGTCAAATTTTTTTTTTCAAAATAAAGTATATTACAATGGCTTCAATTTAAGGTATATATAAAAGTGTCAGTCTTTCCGGAACATATTCAAAAGTTAATTTTTTGTATAAAAGTTGCCATTTTGAAACCCTTCCTGTGGGTTTGTTAAAGGGTCAAATGTTCACAAAAATAAATCAAAAGATAGGTAAATATCTAAGGTATCTATAAAAAATAATTATGTAGATTCGGTCATTTTTAAAAAAGTTATGGCAGTTTTAAATAAGAAAATTGAAAAAATGTTGAAAATTAGCGATTTTTAAATTTGTAATGTTTTGGGGGATTTCCTCCATTTACGGGGAACGAGGGAATTTTCAATTTTTGAGGGTAATGTGTTTGACTAGATACGATTTGGGATCTTTTGACGTATTGTTCATCAAAATCGATCCATGGAGAGCTGAGATTGACTTTTCACAGACACGAAAAAAAAACACATCATAGTAAAAGTAATACCTTCTCAGCTTCGCATCTAAGTTAAAATAATAAATAATATTAAAGAATAATACAACTGAGTGACAATTAAGCAATAGAAATTAACGATATCTCGGTTGAACTACTGAAAAATACAGGGGAAAGTCAAAATACCAATTGTTTAAAATCATTAAACATAGCTACGATTTTATAGAACTATGACAGTTCTGAAGAAAAGCAATGCAATGAAATGTGGAAACTATAGAACTATAGCACTCATTTCTCACGCTTCAAAAATACTTCTAAACATTTTCAAAAACAGATTCAGAGAGAACATAGAACAAAAGATATCGGAAGATCAGTTTGGATTTGGCGAGGAAGCGATATTAGCACTGAAACAGATCCTTGAGAGAAGAATTACTTTGAATAGAAATACTATTACAACAGTTCCTGCTACCTTGGAAGTATCATAGCTTCCAATAACAAATAAACACCAGACAAGACTGTGAAAATTTCAGTTTTTTTTTTTAATTTTTATGAAATACAAATTTAAAGGTCTATAAAAACAATTAAACTTCACAGAAAATTCTAAAATTCAAAAAATTCTATTGTTTAACTATACATGCATTACAGGGTAATCCTCATAGATAAGTCAAATCCCATAATATTTGATCCAATACTTATTTTCCTGTAATGTTAATTAAACAACTTTGTAACGACTAAAAAGCATATAAAATAGTTTCATGAATCATTGGTTCTTAACTTTGAAATTTAATTTTTATTTCAATATTAGACTTTACCTTGTATGGGCTTTTAAGCTCTAATGACTCTTATACTTGTTTTTATGTGTAATGACCCTATAATTTAAAAAAAAAAATCGTTTTTTTTACTATTTATTCAATTATTATTGCCTATACTTTATCCTAAATAATAATTATATTAAAGCTTTAAAATGTTTTAGGGATCTTTCTCTTTACAAACAAAAAAGTGCTTTAACTAGTAATTTTAAATCACTATTAGTTTTCAATCATAAAATTCTTCACTATGTTTGGTTTACACTGAGCCACGTTTTGTTTGTACTAGGCATTCTACTTAAATTTTAGCTTCGATGCGAAGCTGAGAAGGTATTAATTTTACTATGATGTGTTTTTTTTTTTTTTTTTTTTTTGTCTGTATACGCTCAATCTCAGCTCTCACTGAACCGATTTTGATGAAAAATATGTCAAAAGATCACAAATCGTATCTAGTTGAAGACATTACCCTCAAAAATTGAAAAAAAATCCCTCGTTCCTCGTAAACGGGGGAAATCCCCCAAAAAATTACAAATTTAAAAATCGCTAATTTTCGATATTTTTTCATTTTTTTTTACTTAAAATTGCCATAACTTTTTTAAAAATGACCGAATCAATATAATTTTTTTTTTTATAGATACCTTAGATAATTACCTATCATTTTATATATTTTTGTGAACATTTGACCCTTTAACAGCCCAAAGGATGGGGTTTCAAAATGGTAACTTTTTTACAAAAAATTAACTTTTTCAACTTAACTTTTGAAAATGTTCCGGAAAGACTGACAATTTTATATATACCTTAAATTAAAGCTAATGTAATATACTTTAATTTGAAAAAAAAAAATTTGACCTCTGGACTTGTCTTCATGGTGAAAATGACTACCGTATGCAAAAATATGCTATTTTTGTGAAAAAATTCTTGATATTATATTTTACATTTTTTAACATTATGTTGCTATAACTTTTTAAAAAATGCATGAATCAACTTTATTCTTTAATGATAAATACTTTATATATACTTCTTTCATTCGACATACTTTTTTTTAAAATCGGACCATTTCCCTTTATACAGGGGGGGTGCAAACCTTTTAAAATGCGTATAGAAAGTAGAACTTTTTCAACTTAACTTTTGAAAATGTTCCGGAAAGACTGACACTTTTATATATATCTTAAATTAAAGCTTATGTAATATACTTTAATTTGAAAAAAAAAAATTTGACCTCTGGACTTGTCTTCGTGGTGAAAACGGACATCAAAGTTAAAGAAAAACGTACGATTTCCGTGAAAAAAATCTCGATTTTATATGTTATATTATTTAATTTATATTTTATATAACTTTTGGAAAAATGTATGGATCAATATTATTATTTTTTTATAATAAATATTTATATACCCCTTTCATCTGGCACGCTTTTTTTGTAAATCGGATCATACCCCTTTAACAAGGGGGGTCAAAACTTTAAACATGCGTATTGTTACTAAGATATTTTCAATTTAATTTTTGAAAGTATTCCGGAAATACTGACACTTTTAAATATATCTTAAATTAAAGCTTATGTAATATACTTTAATTTGAAAAAAAAAAATTTGACCTCTGGATTTGTCTTCGTGGTGAAAACGGACATCAAAGTTAAAGAAAAACGTACGATTTCCGTGAAAAAAATCTCGATTTTATATGTTATATTATTTAATTTATATTTTATATAACTTTTGGAAAAATGTATGGATCAATATTATTATTTTTTTATAATAAATATTGATATACCCCTTTCATCTGGCACGCTTTTTTTGTAAATCGGATCATACCCCTTTAACAAGGGGGGTCAAAACTTTAAACATGCGTATTGTTACTACGATATTTTCAATTTAATTTTTGAAAGTATTCCGGAAATACTGACACTTTTAAATATATCTTAAATTAAAGCTTATGTAATATACTTTAATGTGAAAAAAAAAAATTTGACCTCTGGATTTGTCTTCATGGTAAAAATGACTACCGTATGCAAAAATATGCTATTTTTGTGTTAAAATTCTGGGTTTTGTATTTTATTTTATTTTAAAATACCTGACAAGGGGAGTACAGATTTTCATAAATATTATATAAATTAAAATTGATATAGTATAGATAGTTAAACTTATTTAAATATGTTTGTTTCTTTTAAGTCGAGAAAAATAACTTTGAAATTTGAACTAGCTTAAATAGCCAATTTTTCAACCGCCGGAAGCAACGTACGGTTGCCGAGTTGGTAAAATTTATGTTTTACACGCTTGGGGTACGAGGTTCCAACCCGCATATGGCAATGAATTTTTTGCATTTTTTCTTAATTCTTTTTAAGTTAGTATAAATTTTAACTCGTTTGATTTTTATCACATTTAGATTCAATAACTTCAATAAAGATCAAGGATCCCATCACTTTAGTCGCCCCTTGCAAGAAGAAATTTCTTATTCGTATTAAAATTATTTTACTATATTTTAAGTTTTCGCTTCGATGCAAAGCCGAGAAGATATTTTTTTGTGACTATCATTTATTTTCTCTGCTCTAACTTGACCTACTTTTTTCAACAATACGTCAAATTACTACAATTCGTATCTAGTTGAAGATATTACTCTCAAAAATTGAAAAAAAAATTCTAATTTATCAATTAAACAGTTAGTTATTACATCGTCTCCATAAAGACAATTAAAATCATTAATTTCTAATGTTTTCAAAATATTTATTAACGAATGAAGTTTGATATGATAGGTTTCAACTACAAAATTAAATCATTTTACTTTGTAATTTAATAATTTTATTACTCTGTTTGTGTGTGCTACTATTAGACTATAATATTCAAATTTTTTTCTAACGTGTTGCTATATAAATCATTTCTAAAAAAAATGATTGTTTTTTCTCCTGAATTAACAATTGATTTTTACAAATATAATCAAATTTTATAATAAACTCAATTGAGTAAATCTTTTTAACAACTTTGTTTTGATTGGTACATTTAGTTAAAGTAAATCATTAAAATTAATTAAGTTCTCAATATTTCAATTATAGAATCTTTTCAACAAACAACAAAAGTTCCTAGGAAATTATTACTATTACTTCTATTTAAGTTATCTATTACCATAAAAATGCAAAAAAATATTGAGCTTTTCTGATAAATTTACAATAAATAGTAATTATAAAACTTTCTGACTGCATATTGATCTTAACGATACAATTTTTTTAATTGTCATAAAATTTTCTATTTAATTATGTCAATGTCAAACTTACCAATTGAGCTAAAAGTTATGGTAAAATAAATTTTTTTTTTTTTTTATAAACATTTACAACAATCAACTTTAAACGATTAACAAAATTGGTTAAATATGTCATTTTCCTTATTTTTAACTTATTAATAATCAAATTAATATTAAATATTATATCAAATCAGTATTAATTTAAAACAATTTTTTTTGTTCTTAATTATTTTTTTTTATATGTAAAAACTATTTTTTAATAATATTAAAACTTAGAAGTTATAGAAAAAGTCTAATTGCACATTTTAAAACATCGCGAAAAGTTGATTTAGAATAGTATATTTTTGTTTCTGATGGAAGTTCCTTGTAGTCCAGTGTATAAAACTTATAACTTTGTTAATTGTTATAACTTTATCAAAAATGACCAAATCAGTATATTTTTTTTTATTTAGATGCATGTCTTTATCTATCATTTGGTTTTTTTTATAAATCTAACCCTTTACCTGCCCACAAGAGGGATTCAAAATATTAACTTTTTTTTTTTTAGTTAAAGTAAATCATTAAAATTAATTCAGTTCTGGATATTTCAATAGTAGAATCTTTTTAAATATCAAAAATTACTTAGAAATGATTACTATGATTTCTATTTAAGTGTTCTATTACGATAAAAATGCAAAAAATAATGAGTTTTTCTGATAAATTTACAATAAATAATAATTATAAAACTTTCTGACTGCATATTAATCTTAAAAATAACATTGTTTTAATTCTCATAAAATTTTCTATTTAATGATTCATTCTAGTCAACGAAGGAGTAATTTTGCAGAATAGCAGAAAAAATTCCCAACAAACTTTTTTTTTTTTTGTTTTAATTAGGCAATTGGTGGATTATTCCAAAAGCAACATCAACTCTTATTTCTTTAATTATATCATGATTAGTAGTTCTTTGATTTTAAAATATAATATTTGAATATATACTAATTATAATTATTAAATTTAGTATGAAATTGATATTTAATATTGTAATTTAAACGGAGAAATTATAAAAATAATAAAGAAGTTATATTTTGCTTTACTTTTACGTGTATAAAAATTTAAAGGGCTTGATACAATAATTTTCAATAAAAACTGTTTGTTACTATAAAAAAATGCACTGGACTACAAGGAACTTTCATCAGAAGCAAAAATATACTTTTCTAAATCAACTTTTCGCGTTGTTTTCAAATCTGCAAGTAGACTATTTCTATCACTTCTAATTTTTTATATTATTACTAATTATATATATAAAATAATAATTAAAAGAAAAAAAAATTTGTTTTCAAATTATTACTGATTTGATTTTTAATATGTTAAAAATAATCAGTCCAAATTTTCAATTTTAACCTATTTTTTTGGTTCTTTAAAGTTGATGAAAAATTTTTGATAAAGATTTATGAAAGTTTATAGTAAAATAAATTGAATATATTACCATAACTTTTAGCTCAATTACAAGTTTAAAATTGACATCTAGGCCAGTCAACAAAGGAAAAATTGCGGAAAAAATTTTGTTTTTTTAAAAGTTGAATTAAAATATGTATAATGACATACTAATAGTCCTCAAGATTGGAATTGAGCTTTTTTTTTAAATCCTCGCAAAAGTTCAAAAATATGAGCTTTCTTAATTTTCTCAAAAAAAAATATTTAACTTACAAAAAAAAGTTTCGCACAAAAGTTGTTTAAAAGACAATTATAAATAAAAATATAATCTTATATTTTTTCATTTAAACAAATATTTTTCGAGTTACATTACATTTAATATGAGTAATAAAATTTATATTCCATTTTTTTCATTTTACGGTTACTTTTTATCATGTTATACTTACATTAGACACAATGTTATAAATGCATATGTGTGTATGTGTGAGTTTATTTATTTATTGTATCATTAAAGTGTAGTGTATATTGAGATACAACCGATAGAGTAGGTAATTGATTTGACGCTATATTATTTAAACCCAACTAAACGCTAAATTGTACATTCCGAAATAACAATCATATTATGTCAATTGCCACCGGAATATCTGGTAATATTTTTCTTTTTCTTTGCCTTAATCCCAACTACTTGGGGTCGGGCACCCTTATCCTAAGATTCCACTTGACACGATCTCCCACATCTTCTACGCTCACATCAGCTGTCCTCAAATCGCATTCAATAGCATCCCTCCATCTCTTTTTTGGTCTTCCTCTATCTCTTCTTCCTTCAACATTCATTTCTATAACTGTTCTTACAGCTTTCGATTCTTCTTTCCTCATACCATGACTAAACAATCTAAGTCTATTTTCTGTCATCTTATCCACGATTGACGCAACACCTATACTTCCTCTTATATGCTCGTTCCTTATCCTATCTTCTCTAGTCACTCCACTCATCCAACTAAGCATTCTCATCTCTGCTACACTTATTCTCTGCTCTACTTTCTTATCAACCGCCCAACACTATTAACCATACATCATAGCTGGCCTCACAATTTCATACTAAATTTAAAAACTATAATTAGTATTTATTCATATATTATATTTTAAAATCAAAGAACTACTAATCAGGATATAATTAAAGAAATAAGAGTTCATGTTGCTTTTAAAATATTTCACCAATTTCTCTAAAGGAAACACTATCTACAGATTTGCATCGAAGCGTTTCTTATGATAGTGATTTTAATCACTGTCAGATATCATCTATACTTGTCCCATCTATGCCTCGTCCACACTGTGCCTCGACCCCACTGTGCTACCGTTTTTTTTTAATTGATTATCTCATACCCTCATGAATTAAATTTTAAACACTTCTTTTAGATTCAACTAAAACTGTTAATAATTTTTTACCATAACATAATTTATTCTAATATGATTGAACTGCATTTTAACTTATGGCAGAGCACATTACGAATATCATGATAATTTTTAAAAATATCATTAATGCAAAATATTATTATAAATTTAAACTAAATAATTTTGTGATTTATACATTGGAAGAACATCTACCTGTTTCAAATTTCTTTGACGTGTTTGGTAAAAATGTTTCTTTGGTGTTCCAATCAAACTTGAATCCTAGATTATTATATCTTTCAATAATAGTCCAATGGATTAAACTTTTGATTTTATAACTCATAAAGGTCCAAAATTCTTGATTACTTCCATTTTCTTTTGATGATCGATATTTCTTACTTAAAAGTTGCCATAATGAGAGCAAATTTAGAGATTTCAAATGACATAATCTTAAATCATTTTCTAGATCTAGTCTTAAATAAATAAAATAATTCCTTATGGTTTCTAATATGTTTTTAGTATTAAATTGGTTTACTTGTATAGGTGATAATAAGTTTAAAGCTTTTTCGATATGCAATCTAGTAGTTACATTATTTAATATAAGTTCATTTCTTTTACTATTTGCCATTGGTTTGCGATGTAATTTGTCTACAGAAACCAATGCACCTTTCATTAGTGTTGCCAAGTCACTTAACTTTGGTATTATTTTAATTATTTCTGTAGTGCAGTCGAAGGCATTTTTGTTTTTGTTATCTAAATTTATTAATGTTTCACAATACTCTAAAAAACGGTCCATAATAAAAAAAATTGTCTTCAATACATTGGCGTAAGAACATCCAAGAATTATTGTTGCACTACGAATCCGAGTATCACAAGTATTTGATGTTACAGGCGTTTCTAATGTTTTTTGTAAAGTGTACTTTTTAGACCAATAATTGATATACTCCACATCAGTTAAATTTTTCCAACCATCATTTTCAAATAAAAACCTAATATTATTTTTGGTACTGTTAATTATTTCAATATGTACAAGTATATAAATAATGAAGACATATAATTTAATACTGAAAAAAATTGGCATTTTAATGTTTCAAATAAGATGTTATTTAGTATGAATGCTATATAATATAAAAAAGAAAATTGTTTAACAAACATGAAAATTATAACTGTTGGTAATTATTTATAGACGCTTAAATGAAATATGACGTAAATTATATAAGTAATTTTAGTTAGTGGTTAGTAAAGATGTTTGCGAACTATTTATAGAAATCTGATGCAAGAACAGAAAATTATTTATAATTTTTTATTCACTAAAGGAAATGTACGTTATTACATGGCTTTTATAAATTAATCGCAAAGTAAATATAATATTGGAAAACAATTTTGATTTTTATAGTATTTTTCTTGCTTTGTCAGCAGTAAATTACTTGTCATCCCTTATTAATTATAGAAGTGTCACCCTTAGATTTTTTAATTTCAACGTGCATAATTTACTAGTTTACTAATTAAATAACGATATAATTAAGAAAATGACTGGCCGACAACAACTTTTGGATCAGTTTTTCAGAAGATTTTAACAATTTAAAGATATTACTGGATATGATAGGTGGTTATAGCAAGTATACGACAATGAACTGGGGTGTTGGCGTAGAAGGATGAATAAAGAGACCCGAGAGTTGACAGGAGTAACAAGGATAACCAACTTTGTAAAGCCCCAAAGGATACAATGGTTTGGATACGTGATGAGGTCTAACTCAGAGAACCATAAAATGGCGACTGAATAGAAACCCACAGGAAAAAGGCCAAAAAAAGAAGCGATGGATTGATGGAATAAATCAGGATATAGAGAAACTAGAGATACTAAATTAGGAAGAAAAAATACATGATCGAGAAGAGTGAAAGGCGGTGTATAAGAAGAAGTAGACTTTTTGTCCTGCCAAGGTTTACAAATAAGAACAATTTTCGAAGTACTGGACCAAAAGTTGTTATCATCTTTATCTATTATATAAGTTAATAAATTATGTAAGTTGTCATTTGAAAAAATAAAGTTGACATACCTATACAGAGCCGGATTAACATAGAAGCCAAAGGATCTTTTGCTTTAGGACGGCATAAATTTTTGTAACACAAATATTAAATATTGTGCACATGTTTTTTTCTATGTTAAATCGAGTAATATCTATGAACTTAGCTATTGAAAAATTACATTTTTTCATTATAATAATATATATTTTTATTTTTAAAATATAAAATTATGAGCTATAGCACTAAATCATGTATCTATAATATTATAAGGATGGACTAACGCATAGTTTATAGTACCATGATTATAGTTATATTCATAACAGTTTACATATAATTATGTAAAATTGTGCTATAAATAAATGATATATGTAGTATTGTCTAATCGATTTCCTGTGCCGCGTCGTTGACTACGCTTATCATCGTCTTTATTTGTTAAAGTATACGTACCTTCGCCTATTATTATATATATGTAGATAAGTAGATTATTATAAGAATAATGTCAATAATAATATAAATATCTGAATATCTGGATAAAATTACAAATAATTCAGTACTCAATTCTGAGTCTTCAGTGTCAGAATTATGAGTTCGCAGTTGATAATAGGTGTTTAAAAATGATTGCCAAAAAAATTAAATTAAGTGGTAGTGAATACCGCAAAAAGGCAATCGAAAAAAATAAAAAAATAAAGATGTTAATGAACATGTCAAAAATTGGATAGTTTTTTAAAAAAAAGTTTTTTATCTCATTTTTTTTTTTTTTTTTTAAAATTTTTCACTTTATGTTGAAATTGGAAATGTAAATACTGAAATAATAATTAAAGATAAAGAATCTGTAGATAATAGTATCGTACAAAGTCGTGATAAAACAAATTCTATACTTGAAAATTTTGTCGAAAAAATTGATTAAATGACAATAGCAATAACTATGATAATTCATTAGAGAACTCAGTCACTATACCAAGTTTAGATCCAGTTGAATGGAACCTCACTTCTCCTGAAATAATAAATTATTTGTTAAAAAATCCACCATTTCAAAATAGAGACGATATCGATTTCAAAAATACTAAACGATTATATGGCAAACAATTAAAAAAACTTCCATGTAATATATTTGAAAGACGTCTTCTTAAAGGTGAAAATAAAAATAGATCTTGGCTTCTTTAATCAAAATCTAAGAATGCTTTGGTTGGGTTGGGTTGGTATTTGAGAACCTCTAAATACACTGAGGTTATTGATAATACTTTGCAAGAACAGGTAAATAACGAAATTAATTATTGGAAAATTATATTACATCATAATGTGTACAACACAATTTTAATCAAAAAGAGGGCTTGCTCTTCGTGGAGAAGATGAAAATTTTGGTTCAAAACATAATGAAAATTATCTAAGATGCTTAGAGCTCATTTCTAAATTCGATCCATTGCTTGCAAATCATATATCGAATAATGGTCACACGGCCCGCGTCGCTTCGTTATACACGATGCCCCGCGACTCGTGCCACCTTTATCAGCCGTCGCCCTACTATGAGTATTTGACTGACCACAACGCGTGTCATACGCTACAGTGCAAAGTCCATCAAATGCCGCACGGCCGATGATGGCCCGCCGCAAATGATACGGGAGTCTTCTTCCAGTTCAAGAGTGACAACGTTGACGAACCGATCCGCAACCGCGCACCGTCGCCATCAACGCTGCTAACCTTTTGATTGAATCACGCCGGACATTGTCGACGCCAGCGAAAGTGCCGCGATATTATGCGAAGATTATTATTATTATTGTGTTCATCTTTTCGGTTTGTTTTATTTTTTTTGTTAAAATAACCTGTTGTCGCTCATTTAATAAACGACCCACGGGTCTCTACCCTCAAAACCAGTGTCGACTACATTTTTGCAACGTATGTCGTGTCAATGGTAATAATGGCCGTGACAATGTGTATTAATTGTCATCCAATATATGCTATGAATTTATATCATTAATGAGAAAAACAGTTATTGATAACATTTTAATTCAAATCAAAAAATCAAAATACTTTTCAATCATTGTTTATTCACCCCTGATAATTTTTTTTTATATTGAAATCTTAGAAATTTTTTCAAGTTTTATGGGTAATGTCTATAACTAGATACAATTTGTTATCCTTTGACGTATTGTTGAAAGAAATCGGTCCAGTGAAAGCTGAGAAAAAGTGGCAACAGACACAAAAAAAAACACACATTATGATAAAATTAATACCTTCTCAGTTTCGCATTGAAGCTAAAATTTAAAGAACATATAAGGTAGAAGTAAAATTCAGAGTGTTCATTAAGTAAAGAAACAGATCAGTTGTTACAAACAATGAAAACAATAATAACCTGTTTTCTTACTTATTGAACACGCTATATATTTGATTAACTATTATTGAAATATACATAAAAATGCATCGTGATATTATAAGTCAAGTAATAGTCTGTTGTCACGTATGAACTCATTTATGTTTCTTAAAATATTTTCGTTAATAATAAACCTAACGTAGTTGATTTACTGACATTAATATTTTAAAGACTTCATATTTATTATATGAAGTATATAAAATTATATACTTTTATTATTAATTTAAAAAATTAAAAATGATACATTTTATGGTACTTTTGTTTACTACGACAATTATTGTGAGTTTTTGCTTTGAAAGAAACATCGATGAAAAGTAAGTTTCTATACATAATAAATCTTCGCTCATTGGTATAAATTCGATGCGAAGCTGAGATGGTATTAATTATAGAATGATGTGTATTTTTTTTTTTTTTTTTTGTTAAACAGACAATAAAATTAAATGTTGATTAATTTTAAAATGTAATTTTTATGTAAAAATCACTGTTTAACATAAAATATTGTAATACTTAAAAATGCCATAACTTTTTGAAAAATGAACGAATTAAAATAATTTTTTTTATATTGAAACCTTAGATATTTTTTTTCATTTGACATAATTTTTTTGAAAATCTGACTCTAAACTTGCACACAAGGGAAATTCAAAAAAGCAATTTCTGCGCACAGATAAAGTTCTTTTCAATTTAATTTTTGAAAATGTTACGGAAATATTGACACTTTAATTTAATCTAAAATTAAAGCTTATATTATATACTTTACTATGAAAAAATAAATTCGAAATATACATTTTCTTCTTGTTGAAAATTGCTACCATATTCAAAAATATGATATTTTGTATTAAAATTCTGGGTTTTGTATTTTATTTTATTTTAAAATAGGGGAATACACTGACTTTCATGAATATTATACAATTTAATTGACATAGTATAAAGTTCATAAGACATAAGAAGTTAAACTTTATTTTTGCTATTAAGTAACTTTAAAATTTGAGTTAGCTTCAATTGCCAATTTTATCGAAATGACGAAAGCGACGAACAGTTGCCGAGTTAGTAACGCTTATGTTTTTCACGCTTAGTGTACGTGATTCGAATCCAACTGAAATAATTATATTTTGCATTATTTTTGATTTAGAAATAAATTTTCAAATCATTTAATTTTTATCTCATTCAGATTCAATAATTTCAATAAATATCAAGGACCCCATAACTGTCGTCTCCCCTCTTAAGAAGAAATTTTTAATCATGTCAATATTATTTTACTATGTGCGTTTTTTTGTGGATGCGATTTATTTTCCCAACCATTATCTGACCTACATTTTCAACCATGGGTCAAATCATTACAATTCGTATTTAGTTGAAGATCCCTTAATCAAATAAAAAGTAGCTTAACCAGCTTTATCCATACAAACATTTAAAATCATTCGTTTCTAATGTTTTCAAAGTATTTATTGACGAATCAAGTTTGATATAATAAAAGTATTCAACTGCAAAAGTAAATAATTTTACTTTATAATTTATTAATTTTTTAACTCTATTTATGTGCGTTACTAACAGTCTATAATATTCCAAATTTTTTGGTAACATGTTGCTATATAAATCATAAATCTAAAAAAAAATGATTTTTAGTTTCACCTGATAATGGATCTTTACAATTATAATCAAATTTTATAACACACTAAATTGAGTAGATCTTTTTAACAAATATTTTTTTATTAGTTTTTTTAATTAAATCATTAAAATTATTTCAATTCTGCATATTTTAATTGTAGAATCTTTTTAAACGTCAAAAATTAATTATAAATGATTACTATGATGTCTATTCAAGTGATCTATTACGACAAAACTTAAAAAAAATCAAACTTTTCTGATAAATTTATTGTAAATAGTATTGTAAATAATAACCATTTTTTTCTATTTAATGATTTTAATTTCAAACTTGCAAGTTGGGCTAAAAGTTATAGTAAAAAAAATTTTTTTATTATAAACTTTCACTTTGAAGGACAAAAATAAGTAGGTTAAAAATGATAGTTTTACATAAAAAAAATTGTATTAATCCGTATATTTTTAAATAGTTATAGCAATTTAAAGTTAAAAATATAAAATCTAATATTGATAGTTTTAAAACAAAAATAGCATGTTTTTTAACTAAAGTATAGTTAACATAAACTTTCATTTAATATATGTTTGATGTTGGAGTATTTGCGGAACATTTTCAAAAGTTAACTTTCTATTCAAAAGTTAATATTTTAAATTTATTCTATAGATGAGTAAAAGGTCAGATATTCAATAAAAATATATCTAATAAAAGGGAATATAACTAATAAAAAAATTGTTTTGATACATCCATTTTTCAAAAAATTTCAAGTACAAATGTAAAAACCCAAAAATGTTTTTAAATATTACCCCATTTACTAGGAATAAAGAAAATTTTTTCAAAATTTGAGGGTAATAACGTCCATTAAATATAATTTGTGATTTTTTGACGTGTTGTTAAAAAAATTCTGTCCATTGAAATCTAAGAAAAAGTAGTAACTGACACAAAAATTAAAAATACGATTGTAAAATTACAGTGATATTTATAATGAATTTTAGCATCGCATTAAAGCTAAGAAATAATTTAAAAAAATATACTAGGAATATTATTTTAAAAAATTAAAAAAAGATAGAAAAAAGAGGCAACTTTTTAGTTCATTTCTCTAAAAATTTCACTTTCAGTCCAAATTTATTATATTAATGTTTTACATAAAACTGAAATTTTATAAAGTGTGATCATTATAACCTTATTGATGAATTTCTAAAAACAATTACCAAAAATATTAACAAATTGTTTATTGCTATTTAAATAACTGTAGTATAATTTTGATATAGTGTGCAAAAAGCATGGAATGAATGGGAAATACAATTTAATGGAATGTACCATCAATATAAAAAGCATAATCGAGGTTTTGAATATAATGCAAATAAATATTTCACAATAAAAAATCAGTATTTATCTGAAATAAATAAGTTCAGATCGTGGCACAGTGTGAATCACTTAAATGAAAATATTGAAGTAACATAAAAATTATTATTAAAAAATAGTATAGACATAATATATAATTAGTTATTAAATACCAGTATCTGCTACGTGGTCATACCCAATATCATTGCACTGTCGACTAGGCTTATAACATTGACACAGTGACACACGTATTACTACAGCGGGCAGACTGCACACATAAACACTTTTGGAATTTACGGCTACCGTACCATAATACATAATTACCAAACGCAAGTTGACATTTAACCATCAACGTGACTATTACTTATATTCAGTGTTGAGAAGGAACTAGTTCCAAAAGGAATCCTGGAACGAGTTCTTTTTGAAGTAACGATGCTAGGAACTGTTTCCTTTTAAAATAAAGGAACGAGGAAAATGAACAAATTCCATTTTTTAAGGAACCTGAACGGAAATTACAGTTCCTAAAAATTTTTATGAACATGTTTAAGTGTAGTTTTCTTCGTATCTAGACATTAAAATATTAAGGTATTTTTAGTTGACTTTTGACAATGGAAGTCCCCTATATACCCAATCGAGATCGTAGGATGTTTAAATGAATCAATTGACTATAAATAGAGTTATTATCACATGTAGGTATACAGTAAATATTTAATATATGTTTACCAGTAGAGAAAAATACAACTTCAAGTTCTCGTATTGAAGAGTTAGAATTATTCTTAAAATGCCAGTCGAAAGACTTGACTGTGTTACTATTGTACCCTGCAATATTAAAAGTATTTTTAGAATTTAACACACCCCTTCCATCTAGTGCTCCTGTTGAGCGACTGTTTTCGACAGGTTTCAATGTGATGACACAAAAACGCCATAAATTGAGTGATTCACTTTTTGAAAAATTAGTTCTATTAAAATAAAACAAATTTGGTATATAAAATGAAAATTTTGTTTTGTTTTAATAGGACTAATAATTCTCAAATTTGTAATTAATGTGTGTGTTAAATACTAAAAATACTTTTAATATAATACTATTAAATAGTAAAACTGTAAATAAATAGTTGTAAATAGTGTAAATAGTTGTTAACTGTACAAATTTTTTACAGTTGACAGCTATAAGTCTAATAATAAGAAATATGCATTATTACAATGTTATAATATTTAAAACTACATCTGTAATGTGTAGCATTTTAATTATTATAGTAGTTATTTATATTCTGATTTAAAAGATCAGTAGTACAGTTATACATTTTTATTACAGAATGATGTAATTGTTTTTGTGTAGTTACTAGTTATAAAACATTATTAAACATATTTATTTATGCCTTTATGATTTAAATATGCCATATAATCTAAAAATTCATAATAAAAATAAAAACAATTTTTTAAATAACTTGGTTACATAGAAGGAACGAAGAGTGGAACGAGTTCTTATTTTGGAGGAACTGGATCTGGAACAAGTTCCTTCTTAATATAAAGAACTAGGATCTGGAACGAGTTCATATTTTAGAAAATGAACGGGGAACGGAACGAGTTCCATTTAAAAAGGAACTTTCCCAACACTGCTTATATTGTCTAACATCCTAACTTAAATTAGCTTTCACCGAGATGGTATGTGTGTGGGCCTTTAGTTCCCTATTGGATAATAATCCAACAGGGAGCTATTAAATTTTTTTTATAAATCTTGTTTTATTTCTTAAATATTGTTTATTTCTTAATTTTTGAATTCTACATGTGTATATGTAATGATTAAATTAAATTAAAGTTCTTAACTAGCGAAAAAACTCAAAATTAATGTAATATTATATATAGCGATGGGTAATATGAGAACTCTGTTTAAAATTCTTCTACGGTAAATTATATTGTAGTCATATTATGATTACAACTATTTCATATTAATCAATTCGAATAATAGTTATTCTAAATAAAAATATTTATAAATTAAAAATTTAACTATGAATATTATTGATGAATTTTATAATTTAAAGTTAAATAAGCTGGCTCAAGCTCATGCAAATTATTTAGCTATGACTGGGATTTTCAGCCTCAGTCCAACTAAATATATTTTCGGAGAGATAATTTCATATTGTAGCATGATAGAAGATCTTGGGAAAATTGTAGCTTTAAATACTTACAGTAAATTTGATAAAGGTAAAAACATCTTTAATTTTGATGCAGATGAAGAAGAAATGACACAAGGTACGTATTATTTTCAAATTGTTTTGTTTTATTCGAAAAACGACTAAAAATAGTTTATTATCTATAATAAAATTTTATCATACAATTTAAGATGATTTCTATGAAAAAAAATTATGGTATAAAAACAATTACATTTTTTAGAGAGTAATTTTTTTACTATTCTTACTAATTAGTTAATGATACTAAAAAGTTTATATACACAGTGGTTTGGTGGTAAATTTAAATAAAAATTGTTATTAATTAAAAAAAAAACGTTTTTTGTTCTAATAATTATAATAGATCATTATTATAAGTGCTGTTATAATTCTTCAACTCTTTTAACTAATTGGGATTCTTATATCCTAAATTAATGTTTAACACTATCATCATTGATCTCAAAAAAAAAAAAAAAATGTTTATCTTTTATTTAAAAAAAAAGACTTACTCAAGTAAGATAATTTGAGTTTAGTACAAACCAATAACTAAAATACATTATAATACGTATATTATGTGATATTTGATTGCAATAACTATATGCAACACATGTTTACAAAAAACAAAATTTATCCCGAGATATATTATGCAAAAATATTTAGAATAAAAAAATAAATAATAAATTTTTAAATAACAAAAAGAGATTAGAAATTTTCCTTTAATAATATAATAATAAATTATATGGCTCGTCTCTAATATTCTAACGATGATTTCAGATGAAAATATTGAAGGACGACATGATGCAACTGCATTAATTTGGAAAAGTGCTACTGAAATTGGAATTGGGATTTCATGTACTAGAAAATTTAAAAACGACAATATAATATTCAACGAACCATTAGTTATTATAGTAGTATTAATAAGTCCTGATATAAACATAATAGGAGAATATAAAGAAAATATTCAACCTAGAAACATTGAACTTATGGTTCAAGATGGTTATTTTTCAAAAAAAAAAGGACTTTTAAGTTTAGAAAATATATTTGGATTTACAATCGATTTCAAGCCTTTTATTGATAATTTATTTTGGTTTTTCAATAAAAAGAATAAAGACGAGGAAAAAAATGAAAAAATGAAAAAAGCTTAAATATTGCGTTTAACTTTTTTCAAATGTATTTACATTTTTTAAAACGCCAAAAACACTCATACGCGTATACATGTAAAATAATGAATTGTTATACTTAATGAGAAATATATTACATCTTAATGTTTATGAAATAAAACAATAATAAAATATATTTCTAAAATATTTTTTTGTTTATTTAAATAAACTTACATAGGTAGTTAAGATTAATTTACACATTTTACAAAATGATTTTATATCTCCATACCCAGTGGTGGCTCGTGGGTGCTGGTGGTGGGTAAGCGATTTTAAATACAATACTGCTAATTATGGGTATATAAAATTGTCAAATTAAATATAGGGTCATTCCATGTGATATCACCTAATGTGTGTGCTGATATAGTTCAGAAATTTATATCATAGACTTCTTAAAGGTCATTGACAACAAAAATAACATATATAATTTTTTTTTTATTGTTTTTTTACCAGATAGCGCATTTTTTATAATTAAAAACAGCCAATGTTCTAGAGTCTATAACTTCAGAACCAAATAATCTATCACTGTAGAACTAGCACTGTTTTACTCATATTAAATAGTACTTCAATTTTATTCTTAAGTTTATGAATTTTTAATTTTTTTAAACATCAAAATTTTTAAGTTTTGCAGTATTTTAATAGCAAAATTTGAAGGGCAAAAATTTTTTTTTTTTTTTTCAGAAACTTTTAGTAATGTATTTTTAATTCATATCATATTTGAATCGATTTATAATTATTTTTGTATCATTTTACGGTCTTGAACACGCGTAGTTTGCTGAAAATAGCCAACTCTATCATCACATTATACAAAAGTGAATGAACGAATTTTTTTTTAAATTTACATAGTACTTACCTTTAGGCAATTAAAACGTCTGATAAAAATTTGATGATGGAGAAAAAATTTTAACGCTACTTATAGAATTTACAAAATTTACAATTTGCGTATTATGGAAAATCCACAAACTACGTAATTTTCAGCACTCAATTTTTATTTCTTGTATTTATTCTGCGTCCTGTAGTAGATTAAGTTATTGGGACTCATAAAAAAATCCTAGGAGCAATGGCTAAGTTTGGAAAAGTTCCATTACTTTTCTAATGGACTATTTCATTAAAAATGTTTGTGCTTTTGTATTTATAATATTTAGCTTAATTTTTCGAATGACAATTAAAATTATTTTATTTTATAATGTAGTAAAATTATTATAATAAATTGTTGAAACTGACACAAGTAATATTTGATGATTTATAAAACGAAGAATAAATAAATCAACGTTTTACAGTTTACCTATTTATAAAACATCTTAAAAGGGGAATAGACAATAAGATATTGAAATTATTAAGTACAGAATATAAATCTTAACATCTTGGTGTGAAAACAAATTGATATATATATTTTTTAATTTATTATTTGATGTTATATTTTCATATGATGAACAAAAATATTGTTTTTATTATTTAAGACTATATTATTAATTTTAACAACAAAATTATCTGTCTTAAATAATAAATTTATAAAAAAAATTACAAAAAGCTAAAAGGAGTTTTCGTACCAAATTAACAATGTTAGATAAAATAAAACAAATAGCATCAATAGTTGTATCACAGTTTTAATTCATCATTAATAATTTACACGTAATATTTATCAGTTTTCAAAAATTATATGTAAAATATAATAAGCCTAATACTAAACATTATCTCCATTTTCTTCTCAAATTAAAAACATATCACATTTATAAACACTTCATCATATATTGTTAGGCAAATGATATAAATCGGTAGTTCAGAATGTATTAAATATACAGCGTGAAATATTAGGTCATTTGCAATATAAGAATAACAATTCAAATTTGAACAATAAGTAATACCGGTAACTAAATGGCGGTTAAAAAATAAATAAATCAAGTACATTTAAATGATGGTTGTGAACAAAAACAAATAATGGAACACTTTTGATAAAAGCACAAATAATAATAGAAATAGTAATGGTTATAATAATAATGATAATAATAATTATATAATATACTAAAATAATCATAAAAACACATTCAGTGAATTTATTTTATATATATATATTTATATATTTTTTTGGAATGAATGCCAATTAAATAACAATATAATGTAAATGGCGATTGACAATACATTATATGTTTTTGTAACAAAATATTGATAACCTTTAAGTAAAAATAGAAAGCTTATTAAAAATTAAATATACTCCGGTAAAAATATATTTTGGTTTAAGCCTAAATAGTAGTATTTAATTTCACATTTGATGTATAAAGGCGTGATGGTAAAAAATTGACTTTGGCTGAAGGAAAAAGTTATTGGATATTTTTATACTGGGAAGAAATGAATATAAACCGAAAATGTGTGACCATATGGTTGATAGACAACATAACGGACAAAACCGAGTGACCAACATTTGCTGGCCACATAGCTTTCATTAACTATAATCTCGTTTGATGGGAGAACGAATGACACTTGGCCTAAAAGAAGAGGCAATTGTTGCTGCACAACTAACAGCTGTTATAGATGACTGTTTTTGAAGTTTTGATGGATTGCTAGTAAAGTTAAATGCTTCAACAGACTGTTCTTGATTGTATTGAGGACCTTCAGACAGAGTTTCTTCTATTATCACATAAATTTTATCTTTATCAGCCTATAACAATAAAAATTCAATTAATTATAAACTTTTATGTTTAAATTCTCTATTATTACTTCATTTATAAAGCCAAAATGAACGAGTTCTTGTGAGAGTGTTGAAGCTGTATCTGCATCTGTAATGGAACAAGTCAGTTGTCTATTCATTTTATCGTCCATTCGTAGCAAAATAGTCATCTATAAAAAATATTTCAATTGTTATAAAACAAAGTGCATAATAATTTTAATTGAATTTTGTAGATAAACAAAATTAAAAACCCTAGATTAAAAAAAAAAAAACTGCTTTTGTTGTCTATGGTATGTGTCAGCATACTTAAATAGTCATAGCTTATAGTAACATTTTAGAAAATTAAATATAATTATGTTGGTATATATTTTCATGTCACATTTATTGTAAAAATAAATCAGAAGGTTGAGAGCATATTGTTGAACTAATTTTGATAGACTATGATAAATAGAAATGAGAAATTATCTTAATTTGTCTAGCTTAAAGTACATTAAAAATCATTATTAAAATTGATTATCACTTGACAGTATGTAATCTTGAAATACTTATTTCTTTTTTTTTTTTTACCATCAAGTTGGTTAACGACAATCGATTTTTAAAATTTGACTAGTCCATCTTAAGAAATAATTAAGTGAAGCAGCATTTTCCTACTTGCCTTATATACTAAGGGACATTGTGTTTACCACCATTGAATTTGACGTGTGATAATAATCATCAAACTACTATCAGCAGTAGGCAAAGCTTAACTTCAGATCTTGACACATCTGAGGTGTTCACTGCGCTACACTACAATTCGTTTCACTATTTCCAATTATTTAAATCAAAATTTTTAAGCTGGGACAAAATTGATTTATCAATATATATTTTAGAACTAGTCCACTCTAGTTTTAGGTTGGACTAATAATTTGATAATACAATTAATTTTAATAATTGATTATTATTTGCTCGATAAAAATAAGCAATTATAATATGTCTATAATTAATCTAAAAACTCAGTTATTAATATTAGTATATTATTAATATAACCGGTATAATTGATTTAATTTATTAATTGACGGTTATTATCGATTACAATTAGTCACTATTATTAATGATCAATTATTTTAAAATAAAACAATGGCGCGACCTTATTTCAATACCTCATCTCCTTTATAATAATATGTGTTTACATTAGCCATTTATTTCTATTTAAATATTTTTAGAAAAAAAAAAACTGTACACAACTGACCATAAAGTCATTTTGTGCATCATCTTTTGGTTTTATGTTACACATCATATTGACAACACGCCTGACTTCTACATCCAATGGTCCAACACTATTTCTGTCCGATGGAATCGATTGATCCATCGAGCCCGTCGGACTTTGAGGTTGAAAACTGGTCAGTCGTACTGGTCCGGCCTCCAGTGCATAAGCTGTCAACGGATATATACCAAATCTATAGTAAAAATATACATGAATTAATTAACTAAAGGCAAGATTACGATCTTATAAAATGATAAATGTATTACCTTACGTCCTCGACAAACTTTTCCAATTTGTTACTTTCGGGAACATCACACATTTTTAATTGTACATTTCTGGTATGGTCATCTCCGTGAACAATCTCGCCCATCACCGTATCGGGATGGTACACCTCATCGGACAGTCGGTCAGCAAAATGTTCTAAAAAAAAGTACCAAAACAACCTGTGTAGCGCAAATTAAAACATAGATGGGTCGACAACATACCAGTCTTAACTAAAACGTGAGCTGCTAGTAGTTTTAAAGAATGCACTTCGAAGAGTACAGGGTGAAAGAGTAGGTTTCTGGCAGTGGGCCTTTTCTCGAAATCGGCCGTCAGACACTGGCGAATCAAATCTTTCTGTAACGGATCGTCCAGTGACTCGATGGTCCGTTTGATGTGGTCTTGGGTGACCAGTGTACCACTGTCGCCGTTGCCCTGTATTTCCAGTGATGCCATTTCCAGTGCACACATGCCAAAAGCATATATGTCAATGGCCGGCGTGACTAAGTCTGGAAAACCGTCGAGCATTAAATATGAGACGTTCAAATAGTAAACAAAGATATCAAGCACTGTGTAAAAAATACTAACTACCGCATTCGGGTGCGATGAAATGCATGTTCTTCATGTTCTCTCGGCAGGTCTTGATGTGAACGTGGATAGTATCCGGGGCCACTAAAGTATATAGATTTTTTTATAAATAAAAAAATTTCAATTAGTATCCATATAAGCGCTGTCGTGCTTCGTCTCGATCCAGCTGCCAGCGCATTTGACCCGGTCTGCCAGTTCTGGACAACCCACGCGGTCCTCAACGCCGGAAACATCGTGAACACCGCGAACGCGTTAACAATCCTACACAGAATAATGGGGAAGTCCCTACATTCGTCATTGCCAAGAACGGTCAGCCGACGACAAACCACCAAGCGGCATGTTTCGAGACGTCGCACTATGTGTAAAAAATATAAGGAAAAAAAAACATTTTTTTTTTTTTTTTAACCATGCTATTGTACGGTGTCATATCAATTATCATTACCTTCCGTAATAATTGTATATGCCGTATACTCGTAATATACGTTAGACTGATTATTTTTTTAATCTATAGATAATATGATTTATTTGGTATATTATATATGTCCCTTACATGGCTTGTTTCGCTCGTGCGCGGTACTTTACCTGATCCTATTTTCACGAGTCCATTGTGTTGGATAAATATCGTGTCACAGGTCAGATTCCCATGGATGATGGGCGGTGAACATGAATGCAAGTAACTGAAAAACAAACCACAACTTTTGTTTTTTTTGTTTGCTTTTCGACGGCGATGATAGCCAGTCAAAGATGGAAAGCGTTTTTTTTTCATGTTTTTGGGCGTGTTCTACTCTACACGACGAAAAATAGAATAAAAAACCAGCCACCGGCCCCCGGCGCTGTTGGTTTCTGACCTTTCATCGGTTTTTCATTTAGGAGAGTACATAAAATATGCATAGTATTATCATATTGTAAAAAATATTTAATATATATATATATAAATAAATATATATACATATATATATATATATATAATAATAAAATAAGATTATAAATATACATACATACACAAATACGTATGTATATTTATATATACATTATAAATAAAGAAATGGCATCATTAATGACATTGGACAGCGTTCTTGTAGTCGAACATGGACACAACACAAGCCTTTTGAATTACTAGTACAGTTAAGCTAGGGAATCGTTCGCCTGTGTTTCTTACACTAGTAGTGTATAACCTATATATTTATACTTAAAAAAATATTTTCTGAAAAAATACAATTATATATACATAGGTAGTGCGTGTGTGTCATGGTCGGAGTTTCAGCGGGACTGTGATTTACACGCTATCCGTTCGCCGGTGTATTCCATAAAACTCATCCCGGTCATCTTCATCGCAATATACAGTTTTTATCAATCGATCCGTCGCCGTTGCATCTGTTCGTTGACCCGCCCAAACAGCGATTGAAGTAGTTACTATTGGTAGTAATGAGCACGTCAAGTACAATTACCACACATTTGCATAAATTACCATCACAACAATTACACATTATGATAAATATATACACACATACACACATACATATATATGAATTATAAATAGTTTATGATAATTTATACGTACATTATTTTTTCGCCGAATTTCAATTATTTATAATTACCTATATACCTATACATATTATGTGAGTATGTTAATACAATATTTAACCTAAACACCAACGTTGTGTGTAGAAAACACGGCACACGACGATATTATGTATAGCGTTAATAATATTTATATATGATCCTAATACCAACAGGATCGGGGCCGTTCTAGCGATTTTAACATACCTTAGGGCGGATAGGATCTGAGTGCACCACCGTTTCCAAGCGGTCAACGAGATTTTCTTCACGTTGCGTTTGGTGCGTTTTAGGAACTGTTTCAATGAGCCAGAAGACATGTACTCTGTGATGAATATGACCTGGACCAACAAAAATATATCTACATTAGGGTTGCGCACTGTGTCCACATAGGTGTGAGTGTAGAGTGTTTGGAAGCAAAAGGATGAGCAGGATGTGAACCAAACCTGTGCAAAGAGAGCGCAGCCACAAACGCGAGCGCACGAGACTTACGCGAGGTTTGTCGTTGTGCGTATCCGTCCAGTATCGATGGAAGTTGACGATATTAGCATGTTGAAGCTGTGTCAAACTCTCGAACACCTGCCGGATCTTGTCCTCTTGAGCCTTGTAATTCTTGCGTTCCGAAAATTGCACTTCGTTCCACACCACCTCGACGCCTTCCTCGGTATCCATGGCTAGATAAGCACAATCGATTCCCGGGACATCCCGTTGCTCCACCTGTAACACGATAGAAACGGAACTGTTGTTATCACAGGTGGTCATGTGCACGTGACAAAACAAACGCGGAAGGTTAGAACTCAGAAATACAACGAGAATTATCGTTGGTATTTGCCAAGAAAACGCATCGTTAACATAATTATCAATGAATTTAAAATGACACAACAAACGTTGTGGTGTTAAGTTAAACCAAGCGCGCAGTGTTCTCTTGGCAAACGAACACCACAAAACCCACATATCTCACCGATGCATTGCGGCAGTCGTACTTTTTATAAGTGAACTTAAAACACTTCTGGTGCAAGCATTATGTTTTGTGGAACGGTTGCAATTCAAGAGAACTAACACAAGATCATAAACAATCTTATCAGTGATCTTTGCACGGATGGATACGATGAATACATTTAGTTTATTTGATGGGAGCGCGCGTCAAGGAAAACAAACGCTTCTCGAATGGTTCAGAAATAAAAGCCGGTATTGATCCATTTCGACATGTCACAAAACGCGGTCATGTCATGTCATGTCAATTACAGCCAATTAATTACGTTCATAATTGTTTGAGGGGTCGAGTTTGCACATTATGTAATTGGTACGATTTTACGGCTTTCGCCGAAAACTACTCAAGTCGAACGTCCTGAGCAGATGTTTCCCGACACAAAATAACATTGTCGTTTAGATGAAAATTAGGCAATTGCTCAACACTCACATTTTTTTGCTTATTAGTTCTCTGTTATATAAATATCGGAAGATGTCTTTTATAATAATAATAATAATAGTGAACAAATACAACAACACTTTTAATTGGCAGAGAGATTGCAGAGTCGTGGTAAACGTGACGCATGACGCGTCGCTATTCGCTCATCTACTCCGGACGACGGTAAGCAAACGACCGGCTGTAAATTAAATGATTCATAAATAATCGTTGGATAACTATGGAAATTATCTCATAAATCCCAATGAAAGTCAAAACAACGACAGCAATGCGAAATACGAAAAGACAAACGACCATTGATAATTCAAATTTAAAATGACCCACGCGGTTTTAGTAGAAACAACGCGCAGTAAAATGTCTACAACGTTTAAGATTCACTGCAGTCAATGACGTTTTCCAACTGTTCAGCAGTGCCAAATGCAAACGACCCAAATATGAAATTTAACCCTTCGCCATTGATGTCACGCTTAGAATACTTCGGTGTAAAATTTAACTTGTAAGTTAACGCACGGCCCTTAGAAAACGTCTACAGCCGTCGTATTTTGGTTAGACTTTGAAAGAAACATAAAATCATCTTCCGTCGAGGTCGTGTACCGTTTTTCAAACGTTCCGTCCACACGACCCATTAACGACGTCGGCCTTGTAAAAAATGCGTTTATGTCGACAATAATACAATTTGCGTCTTTCGAAATAAGTTTTTATAGCCGTCACAGATTAGCACACGACTTGTCCACACAGGCAAGTGGCCAGAAGTTTTTTCCCCGTTCCCGCAATTAATTATTTTTCACATTAAGTCAATACAACTTATTAACATCAAATCGGACAGCGGCCATTTTACAATCTACTAAGCCGTAACGTTAATCCATAGAAATGTGACAATTATAATACAACAGTCGAGTGCAGTCAATTAAGTCAGTAAAAACGCAATTTTTTTTTCGAAAAAGACTCGGAGTCGCCAAATATTTTAGTAATTTTTAAACATTAACTTCGGTCGTTTTTTTTTAAGTGTTCGCGTTCAAGGGCAAAACAGATTCAAACGATACATTAAACAGGGCGTGTAAAAAATAAACCAAAACAATTCATCAAGTCAACTAATCTGACATTATTTTAACCTTAACCGGAACAAGGCGCCGGTCTAGCGCCAACAAGAAATTCTGACTATTTTCTGTCTCAAATAATGCATTTGTCGATTTCGAGAGTCAAGTAAAAATATTCTAAAGGTGTCGCAAAAAAAAATAATTAACGAGTGAAATAACTAAAGCAAAGGTTTTAATTTCCCCTTAGTCGTGTTTGGCGATTTGATTTGACACGAACACGATAATTTCTGGGGAGCTAAGAAGGCAACTAATAGTTCAAGCAAAAAAACTCGATTTTATTGCGAACTTCTAGTAATACGCCAAGTCAAGCGCATAAAATCTATAGCAGAGACAATTGCATTTTCAGAAAGAGCGAGCATAATATAATATTACATTTTTGTCAGCCACACCTACACAGATATTTGCAAAAGCCGAGTGTGCTCGCATATTTTTTCAATTCTAAAACAATTTCACAGCTTAAATAATACTTTCAACGCGAACGTCATAAAAAATAATACGACTTATTGTCAATAAACAAAGTCAACAATTGATTAAGTCGAAAAAGTTGTCGCTTAATGATGTTTACGGTAAGAAACTTTGTTACAAAATAATGAAAAAAAGTGCATTTTTTTTTTAACTTAACGCTCTTAATTTAAATTTAGTTATTTTACTCGTTGAAAAATTAACCTTAATTATTCAATGGTTCGTTATATGTTAAAAATATTTGTTTTATGTTGCAAATATTAAGGCATTTTATTTACCTACAACGCGACTAGGCCATGGCGTTCATCCGGTACAGATCGGATCGGTCACGTCGGCAGCGAAGATCGTGAACAGTGGTAGATTTTCAACATTTTTCTGGGAGGAGATCATGAAGAATAAAATTTATTTGGAATACGCAGAGCCTTACCCTAAATAATGTAGACATATCGGTGCTAGGAGAAGTCGAGACCCCCTGCCCACCAATAAATCCGCCACTGATCGTGTACAAAGACACGTATGTACTGGGGAAATAATAGGCGCCGAACGATTTTTATAAGAACTGGCACTTAAGGAATTCTGGAGGTCGGTTCATTTCGATCGTATATGTGATGTTACAACAAAATAATGGTACGGTCGACATCTGGATATTATGCGATTCGATTCAACAAACGTATAAATCACACGGTGGCACTTTTGTCGCTATACCAGACGTTCTAACATAATGCCTTATATATATGTTTTTTTATCCTATTAAAAAGGCAATGACAAACGGCGCGCCCACGAACGTCTGATCCTTTTTTATTTTTTTCAATGTAAATTGCAAGAAAAAATAATACCAAGATAAGGCGATCGACCTGGCTGGCGTAGATAAAAGTAACGGTAATTGATAATCATAAAGATTAGCACCATAATATTTTTTTTTTCTAACAAACTTTCTGATTTCATGTGTTCGTAGTTTCATTCATTAGGGACACTAATCGGAAACAAAGTTGATATCGAGCAATTTTAATACGATGAACAATGAAATTCTGTCTGTTTGTATTGTCGAAAACAAATTTTACAAGAAAACTCACTCGGTACCGCTGCGACGCCAATGAAGAACAGTCAATTATGACAGAACAAAGCGTTATAGTTGCAACAATTAAAAAAGACTGTAACGCTTCATAAAGCGTTAGGTTCGGGAAAAAATGTTTTTAACTAATGTGCAGTCAAGAGCTATTTCAAATTTTCCAAAAAGAAAAATTATAAAACTAGGCCAAATGAAAGAAGTTAATGAATAAAAGAGAAGCCAACCGTTTTTTTTACGATCGTCGAACACTTCTCCTGGCACGTTTTGATGTTTTATGCGTTTTGAACATTTCTTAATTATTATTATTATATTTTCTAATCTCTCGCTTACGCTGTAATTTTGTATTAACACAAGTCAATGAACACAACAATAAACGTCCGGTGTAATGAATTACAATTGGACATATTTATTGGTACCTAAAGGCGAGACTATTGACCTCTCCCAATGCAGTAACATTTGACTCGTTCGGTGATGATAATTTCATTTATTTTTTGACAAACATCCATAAAAACATTCCAGGAATGAAATCGTTTGCATCTATCGGTCTGAAGTCAACTGCCGACAGATTTTAATATGAGTGCATGTTTTTTTTTAAGTTGTCAACCGAGTTACATTTTTCGTTTTACGCTCAGACGATGACAAAGTCGTGTACGGTCGGGAATTTACGGAAAGCGCGACGGGGTCGTGGCGCCACAAATTAATTGTAATCTTTCGTGACACTTACCGGCCATGAGTCATCAGGCAGACACAAGTCGACGATAATAAATAATTAATAACGCACGTTGACACTGATAATAATAACTATTACCACAATATACAACACCGTTGGTATCATATATTATAAGCACACATGTCACAGTACAATTGTCGTGTAGCTGGATTTGAATAAAGTTAATGTGAGCGCGTGACATAGGAACTTTGAGCATTGAGGTGTGTTTATTATTAAAATTATTCTTCCCTCCATTGAAAACACCACAAGTTGGTGGACCGACTTTTGTTTTAGATACAGACAAACCTAACGATTGGTTGGCTAATAAAATATATTTTGCTATTAAAACCAACTGATCGAAATTTATAAAAAAAAACCCGACTTCTTTACAAGTAGAGAGCAATTGTACTGGTAAAAAACACTTCAAGTTTCACCACAACAAATATACGTTATTCATTAGATAGTATATCTCCAAGAGCTAAGAATTATATGCACCGCAGTTTATGGTCACAAAATATTGGATTCGCGCAATTAATTCATTTATGAAGAAAAAATACAATAATTAGCATAGCACTACACATTAATTAGAATTTATGATAATTGTTTACGCGATAGATCTCAGAGTAAACGATTTCTATTTATCGAATCGATTAAATTAAAACGATATAAACATTGTAGCGAACGATTCACACGATAAAATGTATTATGAGGTTATTAATGATATTCTGCTTTATTAATCGGTTAATAGGAAGGGTTGACTAGCATTAGAAATCTTCAACTTGAACCAGTTGATTCCAGATAAGAATTGTCATTAGAAATATTCATAGTCATTAACTCAGGTTTTTAGACATCCCTATAAATTGAATTAATAATAAATCAAAAATGTTTTAATAATATTAATGAAGCGCTCAGAAAGTTTATCAAACTGCGCCACCTAAAATGTAAGAACGTGAT